TTGATTAGTAATATGCATTGCTAAGAACTTCATTTGGACAACTTTAAAGATGATTTTCTCAATATTTAGATTTTTTTGCACCCTCAGATTCCAGATTTTCAAATAGTTGTATCTCAGCCAAATATTGTCCTATCCTAACAATAAATCTTAATTTCACAAAATTGACCCTTATAACTGGTTTTGTGCTCCAGGGTCACATTTATCTGTTATGCTGAATGACGATGCAACATTATTTCACCCATATTTTGACATTTTCATTTTCACAAAAGATATTGGAAATATTAAATACACTTGACTTGCATGCTTTTTGTGTATATAAAATCACTTTTGTAAATTTGATTTGATGCAGATGTTTCGTCTTTGACCCATGAACTGATCGAATGTGTACCTTGAATTCACTGTAAGATGCTTTGGTTAAAAAGCGTGTGTGTGTGTTTGTGTATGTGTGTGTGTGTCTATGTGTATCTGTGTGTGTGTGTGTGTATCTGTGTGTGTGTGTGTGTGTCAGTGTGTGACGTGGTGGCGCAGGTGCAGATGCTCTACCTGCTGCTGAGTCTGTGTGTGGGCTGGTCTCTGAGCCGCAGCAGAAAGTCTCACAGTAAACCGCTGCAGTGGGACTCGTCTCCGACCTCCACCGCGCTCGCTCTGGCCGCCGGCATCGCTCAGGTCAGCCACACAAACACACAACAACCATGATATACACATATAATAGAATAAGAAATATAAAACTCACTGAGCATCAGCCACCTCACAATCACTGATGCATTCGTTTGGATAAAAGCTCCTGCTGAATGAGTAAAGCACTCAAGAGTGTGCATAAACTGGCTCATTAACTGCATCTATATTCCCTCATGCTGTGTCTGCAGGGGGCGCTGCTGATCTGGGAGCAGCTGGAGGAATCGGAGCACCACAGTTTTCACGCTCCGCGCAGTGTTCCCGGCTGCCTGCTGATGGCGCTGCGTGTGGCGCTCGCTCTGCTCCTGGCGTCGGTGCTGTATCAGATCATCTCCGCCGAGCGGAGCGCGCTCAAACGAGACTTCTACCTGAGCTTCGGCAAGGTACACGCAGCACAACAAAGAGAAGGATATTCTGCAGGATACAGTGAAAAAAGTTATAATTGTATCATCATTTACTCACCCTCATGTTGTTCCAAACCTCTTTGAGTTTCTTTATTCTTTTGAACATAGAAGAATGTATTTTGAAGGATGTGGGAAACCAAAGAGTTGACGGTACCCATTGACTTCCATTGACTTCACACATTCTTCGATATATCTTATTTTGTGTTCAACAGAAGAAACAAACTGGTACAGCATGATGATGAGTAAATGATGACAGAATTTTCATTTTTGGGTGAACTATGACTTTAAAAATATGCAATGACAGAAACTTTTCCATTAAGGGGTGATATTTAAATTGATTTCCAGGGGTATTTGACATTTTTAAAAGAGTCTCTTTCATTTATATTTTTACACTTTTTATTTATATAAGTGCAATTAGAATAGTTAGACATTATAGGGCAATCAAATCAGATAAAATCCACCTTTGCACTGCAGAAGCAGCATCTGAAGTGGCATTTAGGTGTATTCACACAGACTGCATAAATAATGTTATAAGATTCATGTTTTTAATACATTATATATAGAATATAGAAGTATGAAATGTTAGGGGAAAAAAATAAATAACTAAATTTGAACCCAAAACCACCAGTAGATGGCAACAAGTCACTGTCTTATTCATTCAACTGATTTGTTCAAACGGCTGATTCATTCAGAACTGAATCAAGTCTTTATGAACGAGTCACTGAATCATTTGTTGAATCATTGAGTAACGAAACACCACCGTGTTGATTGGAGACTCAAACGTTCTGCTGTGACTCTCAACTATTTTGGAGCAAAAACAGTCAATGTTCTGTTTAAAATGTCACTTAATATTAGCTTAAACTTGGCCTGTGTTTTAATCTGTTTATTTATTAGTGATATAACACTGGATAGAGTATAAAACAGTGATGATCTTAAAAGGAGGACAAATGAGTGTCCAGCTGAAGCGTGTGCTGATAGACGGACAGTGTTTAAAAACCGGACAGAATGCAGCCTAAACCAGAGTTTGTTCCCGTCTGCTTCCCATGAACACTTAAGTGGCACTGTGTGTCGTTTCAGGGCTGTTTTCTGTGGTTCCTGTGTCATCCGGTGCTGGTCCTGTTCTCTGTGATTCTCAACGAACACCAGAAAGAAAAGGTAAGAGAGAAACAAACCACCATTAAAGGGGTCATGAATTGCCTCTGTTTTTATTTTGTACTGTTCTCTGATGTAATAAAGATTTTTACATCAAAAAACATCATAATTTGGAAGTAATAGGCTATTTTCTGTGCTGTTTTGACCCCACATCAGAACGCACAGAACACGATATGTTCAACAGACAAAGCAATAGTGATCACGTAATGAAAACAGTTACTCACACTTGTGTTGCGACATTACTGTCGGATTCAATATAGTCACACAGCGTCCTCTTTTAGTTTCAATCTTTCTGAAAATCCTGCATCGAATTGTTCTTTGTTTGTAATTGAATCCCGATGTAGAACCGGTGGGCGGGGCTAAACACACAGCAATGTAGAACTGGTGGGCGGGGCTAAACAGACAGCGATGTAGAGCTGGTGGGCGGGGCTAAACAGGCAGTAATATAGAAGCAGGTGTTGATTATCTTCTGTGGAGGCGGGGTTTATCCACACTATTACATCATAGAGTGTCACATTCCACAAGCTGTGGTTTTGGCAGACTGCCTTCAATATAAGCTGTTTTTAGACTAACAACAAAGTTTTGAGTTCTGAAACTTACAGGATGTTTTTATAGTACAATGACCTCTTGTATGTAAAATGATCAAGGGAATTTTGATTTCTCAGTTCAAGACCCCTTTAACATTATTATGAATTATGGACCATAATTTGGCCAGAAGCTTTTCACTTAACAGGATGTTGATAGACTGTAGTTGTGTGGACTTCTAGTTGATTATTGTGATGTTTTTATCAGCTGTTTGGACTCTCTTTCTGACGGCACCCATTCACTGCAGTGGATCCATTGAGCAAGTGATGTAATGCAAAATTTCTTCAAATCTGTTCCAGTATAAACTAGCGCATCTACATCTTGGATGGCAAGTCACAATACTAGTGTTCTAATGATTGTGGCCAGCACTGTGTGTCAAAAGCAGCAGCAGCAGCAGAGCTCTGTCTCACGAGTGTCTCATCTGGTCTCTGTCTCGCTCTGCAGGTGGTGACGATCGGCGTGATCCTGTGCCAGTCCATCTCAGTGGTGGTTCTGTATCGTCTCTTCCTATCACGCAGTCTGTACTGGGAGGTGTCCTCGCTGTCGTCGGTCACGCTGCCGCTCACCATGAGCCGCCGGAGCCGCTACTGAGCTTCAGACGGGAGCGAAGCGCTCCAGGACCTCATCCGCGAGCACAACGTCTCCGAGATCCGATCACATGATGGCGAGACGCTGAGCATTACACGCACACCAGGGAGTGAAATGCACAGTTTACATCATCATCATCATCATCATCCAGGCTTCATCATCATTCACGTGTAGAGACACACCTGCTGCGAGTCAGTCTGCCAAAGGAGGAAGATGAAGCTCAGCGCTCGCTCTCTGTTCAAGCAATAAGAAAACGAAAGCATCTCTGTGATTTCTCAGCTGTGACGCACTGCATCCTGATTTAATTTGTGCTCGCACATGATTTCATTTCTGTCGTTCCCCACAAGTGCCTAAAATGACAATCACTGACGCGGAACTGAATATAAAAGCGATGAATGCTGAGGATATTTATTGATCCTGAACATTTCTGTGTCTAAAGGAGAAAGATGATGTGAAAATCTTGTTAACTAGAGCATGTGTTGTTACGTTAAAGACTTGAACTGTATCAAACATTGTGGTAATAAACGTCATGCACACTACAGTCTGTATCTGTCACTGTCGTAATTACAGTAATCCACATATACTAATGAGGAGATTATGACATAATGATAATGATGGAACTGCTCATACAACAGCTTTCTATTTCTAAACGCTGTATGGTGTGGTTTGTTTTTTTTGCTTGTGGATGATGAAAAACGCTGAGAAATTCATAAACACCAATTAAAGGAAACCCAAAAATGAAAGTAAATGTGCTCACCCTCAGTTCATCTGAGATCAGGATGAGTTTGTCTCTTCATCAGGTTTGGAGAAATGCAGCATCTTAGCAATGTGCAGTGAATGGGTGCCGTCAGAATGAGAGTCCAAACAACTGATAAAAACTCGTCTCTCGTCTCTTGAACAGCAGTGATGTAACAGCATCATAACTGAGATGATGTGGAGGAGTTACGTATGAATAACTGAGAGATTTCTGACGGGTGGATTCATTGCTCAGCGTTCTCTCTCGTGGTCTCTCGTCTCTTGAACAGCAGTGATGTAACAGCATCATAACTGAGATGATGACTGTATTTCCACACCGCTGGAGGAGTTACGTATGAATAACTGAGAGATTTCTGACGGGTGGATTCATTGCTCAGCGTTCTCTCTCGTGGGAGGCGACAGGGATCGGCTCTTATAAAGCTCCTCACACACACACACACATATCTGACGAGACGAGCATGAGTGAGAATCTGAGGAGCAGGAACTCTGTCAGCCGAGATCAGGGTGAGTCAAACTATATTCAATCTATATTCAGATTTTCAATTTCTGTGAATATTAGCACACTAGTAGATGTTTAGGATCATTCATGATAGACTAAACTACACCTTTCATTAGTTTTTGATCTGTGCTCTATAAGTTAGACTGACTTTTTCACAGAGTTTAGACTCTTGATTTTACTCTTCAGTTGTATTTCTGTATCTTAGTGGTTAAAATCACTATAAAGTTTGATTCATCACGGGTGACACTGACAGCTGAATGGTTAAATAAAGGTGCTTCACAGTGATGCCATAGAAGAACCTTTTTGTCTGAATGGTTCCATAAAGAATCTAAAAAACCTTTCGGTTTCACAAAAGCTTCTTTGTAGCGAAAGAAGGTTCTTCAGATTCTAAAAAGCTCAGAAAGAGATGATTCTTTGACTGAATGCTTCTTTGTGGAACCAGAAATGGTTCTTCTATGGCATCGCTGTGAACAGCATCTTCAGATGATTTCTGCATGTTAGTGTGAGTTTAGGGTTGATCCGTCCAGCTCTTATATTCTCAGTGCAAACATCTGAACCAAACCTCATGGAATCAGTGTTTCTGATCTGCTCTTCATTCATCAGATCGACCACGCCTGATCTTCAGCTCTGATGAAATATGATTTGTCAGCATGTGTCACAATGTCATTTATCTAATCGCGAAGAACTCTGGAATAAACCTGCTGGACTAGTTGTGTAGTGAAGTAACCGTGTGTTTCCAGCAGCTGTGATGAAGGTGGATCTGCAGTGTGTGAAGAACAACACCGATCATCACACTAATGAGATCACGGTGGAGCGGCTGATCATCCGCAGAGGACAAGCCTTCAGTCTGATCCTGAGCGCTGAGCGTTTAGATCACAACGACATCGAGATCACTGCGGAGACTGGTAACAAAAACACTCATTACAGTCGCAGCACAAACATTTATTTGATCAAAAATATAGTCAAAAATGTGACATATTAGAATGTAAAACAGCTGTCTTCTATGTGAATCTCTGTTAAACTGTAATGTATTTCTGTGATGCGCAGCTGTATTTTCAGCATCATTACTCCAGTCT